CACTTAGGCTCCAGGGGCCTAGTTTATATTAAGCAAGTCAAGAGTTGCCATTATATTAGTATATTTCTTCCTCATGACTTAATAATTCACTTTTTCTGAGACAGTCTCATTCTGTCACCCAGGCTAGAGTACTACTCAATCAGCCTAGCTCACAACAACCTCAAACTTCTGGGTTCAAGAGATCCTCCTGCCTCAGCCTCGAGAATAACTGGGACTACAAGCACTCACCACAACACTGGGCTAATTTCTCTATTTTTAGTAGAGATGGGGTCTTGCTCTTACTCAGGCTGGTCTTGAACTCCTGAGCTCAAGCCATCCTCCTGTCTTGGCCTCCCAGAGTGCTATGATTACAGGCATGAGCCACCACATGCAGACAATAATTCAGTTTTGAAAGCAGTTTCTGTCTACAATGTACAAATAAAGGGGAAAACCCTTTATTTGTATATATGAATTAGGATCTCAAAATCCTAATTCACATGATTATATAATAATCAAAGCTTTTTCAGATAGCCCACTCTTCCCAAACTACATGTTTATACGTCATAAATCAATGTGATCCAGTACAGCAGTGGTAGGGTCTGCATGAGCTGTTTACAGGGTTAGGATGGGCAAAATTTCAAGATGGAAACGAGTGTGCTGGCTACTAGGAAATCCTCATATTTTCTGTTTGTATCAGGAAGTAACTATTCCAAGACTTATAAATAACTACAATCATATCTTTTAGATGCCCATTACACATGTATAAAGTAGGATCATGCATTGCCTTTAGACATCACACCTCATTGGTATTAACATGTCCTTAGTGTTTCATGATTTCATGACCTTGACTTTTTTTTAGAAGTCAACTTAATTCAAAGCCTTATATTTAGCCTTAATAATTTTTTTTATTTTTTTATTGTTGGGGATTTATTGAGGGTACACAGAACCAGGTAACATTGATTATTTTTCTTAGATAAGGACCCTCTTCTATTTGTGTCCTGCCCCCAAAAGGTGTACCACACCCCTTACTTTATAGATGTTTCCTTGTTTGAAGTCTTTCTGCTGTTCAGTCATGACATTTGCATTTTTCCCAAAAATCCCACCAAAGGGCTGCCATGCTCTCTCAATGCCTTGTATCAGAAAGCACATGATGTCGATGAACTCTGCGATGGGAGATGTTAACTTTATCATTTGGCAAGGAGCCTGCCATATTTCTACCTTGTAGAATTAATTGATAACTATTTTGAACTTCTTTGAAGCTATGCCTCAGGAATTTTCAGTTCTGCATCATAAAGTCTTCCTGTCAAAAGAAAAAGTAATGTTCCCTAATTCACAAGAGATGGCTGACTGTCATAATTTCAAACAAAGTGTGAAGATTATTTAAATAATTGAAATAAATTGACAGCAAAGTATAACTTGTCTCATTCCCTTGTTGTCAAAACCAATGGAAAGATCCTTTTCTTCCTTTTGGAATAGGTTACGCAATGTAGGTACTAGTTCCTCTTTGAAGGTTTGATAAAATTTTGGTGTAAAACCACCTGGTCCAGCACTTTTCTTTTTTGAAAGATTTTGGACTTTTTTTTCCCTTTTTTAATTTTTTTTATTTCAGATTAATACGAGGGTACAAAAGTTTTCATTTTTACATTGTTTTCATTTCTAAAGTAAAGTTCAACTTGTAGTTGAGATCTTCACCTAGGGAGCCTATTGAACTCCTTCCCATTGTGCATTTTAGGTAAGATCCCACCAATTACCCATCCTCATCCCCTGTCTCTCCTCTCCCCTCCCCCGTGCTAGACTATACTTGTGTTTTCTCTGTTGTGTGAACATGTAGTTTTTTATATATTGCTTTTGTATTAGTATCAAATACATTTGATACATTTTTTCCCCATTCTTGACATACTTTACTAAGAAGAATATGTTTCAATTCCATCCAGGTAAATACAAAAGATGTAAAGTCTCCGCCTTTTCTTATGGCTGAATTATACTCTATGGTATACATCTACCACAATTTGTGAATCCATTCATGTGTTGATGGGCACTTGGGTCGCTTCCACATCTTGTCAATTGTGAACTGAGCTGTGCAATAGATAGTATAGTGAAAATGTCCTTGTGGTAAAATGATTTTTCTTATCCTGGGTAGATATCTAATACTGGGATTATGGGATCAAATGAAAGTTCTACTTTTAGATCTTTGAAAAACATTCACACTTCTTTCCATAGAGGTTGTATTAGTTCGCAATCCCACAAGCTGTATAGAAGTGTTCCCTTCTCTCCACATCCATGCCAGCATCTGCAGATTTGGGATTTTGTGATGTAGGCTAATCTAACTGGAGTTAAGTGATATATCAGCATGGTTTTTATCTGCATTTCTCTAATGATTAGGACAATGAGCATTTTTCATGTGTTTGTTAGCCATTCATCTATCATGTTCAGAGAAGTTTCTGTTCAAGTTTCTTGCCCACTTATAAATGGGAATGTTTGCTCTTTTCTTGTTGATTGAGTTCTCTGTAGATCCTTGTAATCAGCCTTTTGTCAAATTCATAGCATGCAAATAGCTTCTCCCATTCTGAAGGCTGTTTGCTTTCGTTGTGGTACCCTTCTCTATCCACAAGTTTTAGCTCAACCATGTCCCATTTACTTATTTATGGTATTGCTGCAGTTGCCAAAGGGGTCTTCTTCAGAAAATCTTCTCCCAGGCAGATTTTGTCAAAAATTTTCCCCCACATATTCTTCTAGAATTTTTATTGTTTCATGTCTTAAATTTAAATCTCTTATCTAGTGAGAGTCAATTTTTGTCAGTGGTGAGAGATGTGGGTCCAATTTCAATCTTCTACATGTGGCTAACCAGTTATCCCAGCACCATATATTAAATAGGGATTCTTTTACCCAGTGCAAGCTTTTGTCTGGTTTTTCAAAGATCAGATAGCAATATGTGTCTGGGCTCATCTCTAGGTTCTCTATTCTATTCCATAGATCTATATCTCTATTTTTATGCCAGTACTATGCTGTTTTGATCATTATAGACTTGTAGTGTAAACTGAAGTCTGGTAACGTGATGCTTCCAGATTTGTTTTTATTGCTAAAAATTGTATAGGCTACTTGGGTTTTTTCTGGTTCCATATGAAATTAAGTATTATTTTATAAAATTCTTCAAAGTATGAAGTTGATAGCTTGATGAGGATTGCATTAAATCTGTAGATCATGGATGGCACTTGTGGCTCAGTGAGTAGGGCACCAGCCCCATATACTGAGGGTGGCAGGTTCAAACCTGGCCCTGACCAAACTGCAACAAAAAATAGCCAGATGTTCTGGCAGGCACTTGTAGACCCAGCTACTCAGGGGGCTGAGGCAAGGGAATCACCTAAGCCCAAGAGCTGGAGGTTGCCGTGAACTGTGACACCACAGCACTCTACCAAGGGCAACAACGTGAGACTCTGTCTCTCTAAAAAAAAATCTGTAGATCACTTTGGGTAGTATGGACATTTTAATGATGTTGATTCTTCCTAGCCACAATTATGGTATGCTCTTCCATTTGTTAATGTCTCCTATTTCTTTTCTCAGAATTTCATAGTTCTCTTTATAGACATAATTCACATCCTTTGTTAGATATATTCCCAGGTATTTTATTTTCTTGGTGCTCTGAAGGACATTGTATCTTTGACTTAATTCTCAGCTGAGTGTTATTGACATATATGAATGTTACTGTATTGTGGACATTGATTTTGTATATCAAGGTGATACTGTATTTCTTGATCACTTATAAGAGCTTTGTAATTGAGTCCCTGGAAATTTCCAGTTATAAGATTATGTCATCCATGAAGAGTGAGAGTTTGACCTCCTCTGTCCCCATTTGAATACCCTTGATCTCCTTCTCTTGCCTGATTGTGATGGCTAAGACTTTTAGCACTATGTTGAACAGCAGTGGCAATATGGACATCATTGTCTGGTTCCAGCTCTAAGTGGAAAAGCTTTCAGTTTTACTCCATTCAATATGATATTGGTTGTGGGTTTGTTGTAGATGGCCTCTATCAGTTTAAGAAATGTCCCACCTAGGCCTATTTTCTTAAGTGTTCTTGTGAGAAAAGGATTGTGGATATTGTCAAAAGCCTTTTCTGCATCAATTGAGAGAATCACATGGCCTTATTTTTTATTTATTTATGTAGTGAATTACATTTATGGATTTACATATGTTAAACCAACCTTGTGTCCCTGGGATAAAACTCAATTAATCACGATGTATAATTTTTTTAATGTGTCACTGTTTGCTAGGATCTTATCAAACATTTTTGCATCAATATTTATTGGTGATATTGGCCTATAGTTTTCCTTTTGGGGGATCTTTTCCTGGTTTGGGATCAGGGTAACATTAATTCATAAAACAGGTTGGGGAGGTCCTTCTTTCTATATGTTTTGGAATAGGTTATAAGATATAGGTACTACTTCCTCTTTGAAGTTTTGGTAGAATTCTGGTATAAAGCCATCTGGTCCAGGGCTTTTCTTTTACAGAAGATTTTATATTGCTGATGCAGTTTCAGTGCTTGATATAGGTCTGTTCAAATTTTTTAATTCTTTTTGCTTGAGTTTAGGAAGGTGTTGTGTACCAGGCAATGGTCCACTTCCCCTGGATTTTCAAAAACCTGGGCATATAGTTTTTTGTAGTAAAATCATTTAAGATCTTTTGTATTTCTTTGATATCTGCTGTTATTTCCCCTTTTTCATTTCTGATTGAGGTTATCAGAGACCTTACTTTTCTGTTTCTAGTTAGTCTGGACAAAGGATTATCAATTTCATTAATCTTTTCAAAGAACCAACTTTATTTTGATGATCTTCCAAAAGATAGGTGTGTTCTCAATTTCACTTAATTCTGCCCTAATTTTGTTGTTTCTTTTCTTCTTCTAGGTTTGGGGTTGGATTCTTCCTCCTTTTCCAGTTGCTTGATATGGCCCATTAGGTTGTTGACTTGCTCTCATTCTGTTTTCTGGATGAAGGCATCTGATTTCTCTCTTAAGACTGCCATTGCAGTGCTTGCTTCAGCAGTACATATACTATAATTAGAACGATACAGAGAAGATTAGCATGGCCTCTGCACAAAGATGACACACAAATTCATGAAGTGTTCCATATTTTTTAAAGTACACTTTGCCTTCTGTTATTTACAGATGCTGCATCAATTCAACCAAACTAAAATAGAAAATATTAAAATAATTGTAAATAAAATAATAAAAACAAAAGAAAAGACTGCCATTACCATAGCTCACAGGTTTTGATAGCTTATGGTTTCATTATTATTTTGTTCAAGAAATCTAATAACTTCCTTCTTAATGTCATCCTTAATCCAGCCCTTCAGCGTAAGATTAGTTTCCCTCATGAGAGTATGAAGATTTCTGTTGGTGTTGAGTTCAACGTTTTTTCCATGATGGTCTAAGAATACTTTCTGTTCCTTTAAATTTGTTAAGGTAAGGGCAGCACCTGTGTCTCAATGAGTAAGGCACCAGCCCCATATACCGAGAGTGGTGGGTTCAAACCCAGCCCTCACCAGCTAAAACAGCAATGACATTGCAACAACAACAAAAAAAAGCCAGGTGTTGTGGCAAGTGCCAGTAGTCCCAGCTATTCAGAAGGTTGAGGCAAGAGAATTGCCTAAGCCCAAGAGTTGGAGGTTGCTATGAGCTGTAATACCACAGCACTCCACCAAGAGCAACAAAGTGAGACTCTGTTGCCAAAATAAAAAAAAAAAAAAAAAATTCTTATGGTTAGATGTGTGCCCTAAGAGATGATCAACTTTGAAGGATGATTTGTGCTAATGAGAAGATGTATTCAGTTTTATCTGGAAAAAATGTTCTGTATATGTCTATTAAGGCCATTTGTTCTTAGGTCATGTTTAAGTCCATTACTTCTTTATTTAGTTTCTGCTTAGAGAATCTGTCCAGTACTGTCAAAGAGATGTTGAAATCTCCAATTATTATGGAGTTGGAAGATATCATATTGTTCAAATCATTTAAGGGAGTTTTATCAATCTAGGAGCACTTAGGTTGGGTGCATAAATATTAATGATTGGAATCTCTTCATGTTGTAGCTTCCCTTGACCCATACATAGTGTCCATTCTTGTCTTTCCTTATTTTTGTTGGTTTAAATCCAATTGTATCTGCAAATAAGATTGCAACTCATGCTTTTTTCTGATTTCTACTTTCCTAGAATATTGTTTTCCATACCTTCACCTTGAGTCTTGTTTTATCCTTAGAGGTTAGGTGTGTTTCATAGACACAGAAGATACTGTGTTTCAGCTTTTGTATGCAGTCAGCCAGCCTGTGCCTCTTTAGTGGGGAATTCAAGCCATTCACATTTATTGAGAGAATGAATAGGTATTGTGGAGGTTTGTTCATCTGGTTTTGTGAAGCTCCAGTGCTTAGTTTTATCACTTGCACCATTGTGGAAGCTAGGTTTTGTTATTTAATTTCTGGGTATGTTTACTTTGCTGATGAACCATTGTGCTAGTCAGTATAAAGAATCTGTCTGAGTACTTCCTGTAGAGCTAGTCTAGTTGTGGCAAATTCCCAATGGAGAGCTCTTTCTCATTCTTTTATTTGACATCTTAGAGGCATTTCAGATTTTTGACCTTCTGCATGTGAAATATTCCCCTGTTTTGTTTTCAGTAGCACCAACCACTAATGTTTTTCTTCCTAAATGGCTGGCAATACCTATTTCTCTGTCTGAATCCTCAAGTATATTTTTAGTTTTTTACATTTATAATGATGTATAATTATAAATGCATTTTTAGGCCATCTAGAAGCAGATTTTCGCTCCTACAGCAATCTCTGGTTTGGCCCACCTGCCTCTACTCCAGTCTTCCCCATGTCCATCAGGGTTACCCAGAAGTCCTACAAGGTGTCTACCTCCGCCCCACGAGCCTTCAGCAGTCGCTCATACAGCAGTGGGCCTTGTGACTGCATCCCAGCTTCTCGAGCTTCTCTCTGGTGGGCAGTGGCAGCTTCGGGAGTGGCCTGGGCACCGGCCTGGGTCTGGGTGGAGGCTACAACGGAGCTGGAGGTATGGGGGGCATCACAGATGTCACAGTGAACCAGAGCTTGCTGAGCCCGCTCAACCTGGAGGTGGACCCCAACATTCAGGCCGTGTGTACCCAGGAGAAGGAGGAGATCAAGACCCTCAACAACAAGTTTGCCTCCTTCATCGACAAGGTGCGCTTCCTGGAGCAGCAGAACAAGATGCAGGAGACCAAGTGGAACCTCCTGCAGCAGCAGAAGACAGCTCACAGCAACATGGACAGCTTGTGTGAAAGCTGCATCAACAACCTTCCGTGACAGCTGGACACACTGGGCCAGGAGAAGCTGAAGCTGGAGGCAGAGCTTGGCAACATGCAGGGGCTGGTGGAGGACTTCAAGAATAAGTATGAGGAGGAGACCAACAAGCATACGGAGATGGAGAATGAATTTGTCCTCATCGAAGATGTGGATGAAGCTACATGAACAAGGTGGACCTGGAGTCCTGCCTGGAAGGACTGACTGACAAAATCAACTTCCTCAGGTAGCTGTATGAAGAGGAGCCCTGTGAGTTGCAGTCCCAGATCTCAGACACGTCTGTGGTCCTGTCCATGGACAACAGCTGCTCCCTGGACATGGACAGCATCATTGCTGAGGTCCATGCCCAGTATGAGGAGATCGCCAACCACAGCCGGGCTGAGGCTGAGAGCGTGTACCGGACCAAGTATGAAGAGCTGCAGGTGCAGGCTGGGAAGCAAGGGGACGACCTGCGGCGCATGAAGATGGAGATCTCCAACATGAACCAGAACATCAGCCAGCTCCAGAATGAGATCAAAGCTCTCAAAGGCCAGAGGGCTGCCCCGGAGGCCTCCATCGTGCATGCTGAGCAGCATGGGGAGCTGGTTCTTAAGGATGCCAACGCCAAGCTGGCCCAACTGGAGACCGCCCTGAGTCAGGCCAAGCAGGACATGGCTCAGCAACCGTGTGAATACCAGGATGAACGTCAAGCTGGCCCTGGACATGGAGATTGCCACCCACCGCAAGCTGCTGGAGGACGAAGAAAGCCGGCTGGAGTCGGGGATACAGAACATGAGTATCCACACGAAGACCACCAATGGCTGGTCAGTTGGCCTGAACTCAGCCTATGGGGGCCTTACAAGCCCTGGCCTCAGCTATGGTCTGAGCTCCTTCCAGACCGGCTTTGGCTCTGGTGGGGGCTCCAGGTCCTTCAGCCGCACCAGCTCCAGGGCTGTGGTTGTGAAGAAGTTTGAGACCCGAGTCGGGAAGCTGCTGTCTGAGTCCTCTGATGTTCTGCCCAAGTGAGCTGCACTGCGGCCCCTCCAGTCCACCCTCTCACACGGCTGCCACAGAGCCTGTGGGGGAGGCAGCTGTGCCAGGGAGCACATGGAACAGGAGACCCAGCTGAGGCTCAGCCCCACCCCTCAGCCCATCTTTCTGGGGAGTTTACCACCTGGGTTACCTCCACTTACACCCTGAACTAAAAACCAATTTTATTGCTTTTTCCAAAATAAAGCCTCAGCTGCATTGCCAACCAAAAAAAAAAAAAAAAAATGCATTTTTAGATAAATTACCTTTTGACAAAAATAAGCAGTTTATTCTGGTCATATAATTTTAGGCAAAATTTTCAGTAAGTGACATAATGAGAAAATTTTCCTGTGCCTTTAAATACTCATATAAACAATTGTAATGGTGGCTTGGGATTCTATAATACTGAAAAATGTACCATGATTTATCTCTCTCATTTGGGGATATTTGGTTTGTTTGGTTTTAAAAGAAATATAACGATGCTATAGCAGGTGACAGGGAAAATGCAGTATCAACAGAAGAATAGGGAAAAAGTTTTCCTGCTTCTAATAAAATTAGATGAACATACACAAACACACACATGAAATAGTTTGGAACACTATATACCAGAATGTCTATAATTAATGTCTCTGTGATGTAGATTTATAATGGATTTTATTTTAAAAGTAAAATCAAAACTAAGAAGTATTTTATATTACTAGCTGCCTTTAAGGCGTGATGTCACAAAAGCATACTGACTGAGAGGGACAGAATAAATACCAGAAAAAGAGAAACTGAGAGTATAACAATGGCCTTGCACGGAGAAACCCATACCCTGTCCATCAATACTCATGATCTGAACACTTAAACACATAAGCATATTACAGAATATCTATATGCATACACATAGACACATGAGTAGGCTCATGCTGGCACTGAATATTGAGTTCTTGTAAGATGATATAGGAAGACTAGTTCATTCAGCAACATAGACACCTAAAGGCACACTAGAAGGAACAGAAAGAGTGGGATTGGATGACATATTATATGTTATAAGAATACAATGACACTTCTGATGCTACGACCACTATTTGACAATATTTGTTGAATCTTAAAACAAATTAAGGGCTTTGTGCCAAAAAAACTCTATTGATGTTTACCTCCTTTAATCTATAATTCTTTGAGGTAAATGCTGGTATTATCCACATATCCGTGAGGAAAGAAAAACTCAGATTCAGCAGTTTCCAAAAAGTCACATACCTTTTAAGTGGCAGAGCCTAGATTTGATTCCAGTTAGTCTAACTTCAGAGTTAGTTTTTTAGAATATAGCTTTCATATTCTTAAAAAAACTATAAATATAACTTTATTAACTGATCTGTCTTAAATTATGTTATGTAACTACTTATTAATACTGTCTTAGGAAGTACTTTGAAAACTCAGCATGTTTCTGATTTTAGTCACAAGCCTCTATGTTTGGTTGCCCTCACACCAGTAGTTTAAAACTCAGGTGAATTCTCCAATGGTCTGTGCTCATGGTTAAATCCTAAGGGGGCCCAAACACCTGAAGATGCACAGTGTTAATCTGCCCTATCCTTTAGTAAATAGGCTGTATGCCATGATGCCCCACCTACTCATATGAAGTGGAACTTAATCCTTTCCAGCCAGGACACGAATAAGCTTCCCATGATGCAGGATAACATTAAGTAAACACAGTAATAAAGTAGAAGGTCTTAAAAAGGAGCGGGCTCAAGTTTATTTTATAATGAGAACCATGAGATCCCAGACTGCCCAGGGTCCCTCTTGGATCAGTGGTAGAAGTAAGAA